ATGTCTAATAATTAAGCATCATATTATATTGCGCAATAGAATAATCATTCACTTATTCAATAAAATAAAACTTAAATATTCATATCAAAGCACAATAAAATATGTTCATTTCATACCTTAAAAAACTAAAATAATAAATAAAACTAATCTGATAAAAAAGGACTATGTGGATACACTTTGGGTGTAGCTTTACCCACTTAACTCCTATTTCTACATAGTACTTTCATAATTCTTCGTCATCCTCAATTTTGATTCTAACTTGATTAAGTTCATTCTTCCGGAATTCTGGCAAGGAATCATACAAAATAGCATATCCTTCACTATCTGTAATTTGAGGTTGACTTTCATAAATTTTCTCAAATTTCACGACAAAGTTCTGGAGAAATTCTATTAAGCATCCATGGGGATCCATCTTCAAAGAATTAAACTCTCTTAGATCTTTTTTTATTTGTTTCCGAATAACCCTTCCTTTTCTTAACATACTTTGAGAACTCCCACTTGGAGTAATTTGAGCATGTTCCCGTTCAGCCATATCTGAAATGGGAACAAAATAAAATATGATTAATACCATTTAATGTGACAACATATGTCACAAATTTCTCTCATAATGTCAAGCAACTGTTTAAGGAACATAAGGACTATTCGAATACTCAAAAACAATAAGATCCTAAAAGAGGACATATAAAAATAAAAATAAAAATTCAAAAAAACTTTTTTTTTAGCCATTTGTTGAAAAAATTCATATCTTGCTCATTTTAAGTCGATTTCCTTATAATAATATGTTTTCGGAAAGCTTAAAATGAGCGAATCATAAAAAAATAAGTTTCTACCCAAAAATTGCACAACGAATTTTCAGATTGCTCTAGACAGATGCAGTTTTTCGAAAAACAAAAAAATATTCAATTTTTTTAATAATTCGTATCTCACTCGTTACAATTCCGTTTTTCCAGTATAATATGTTTTCGGAAAGCTAAGCACAAGCAGATTATGGAAAAAATAATTTCGACCCAAACATCGTACATTCTATTTTCAGATCGCTATTAAACAGAAGAAGTATTAAAAAATAGAATTTCTTTCTTAGTAAGACAAGAAATCCTATCTATTTTATGATTGAAAATCAAATAGGATTCTGAATCCTATTTCACATAAAATTAATCCACATCTAAGCGTCATGAAAATTAACATCATTCAATTTTTTCTATTCACTAATTTTAAAAGACATAGAATCTATTTTATTTCTTATAAACATAGACAATGAATTCTCAAGTTCGCAGCACATGATAAGATCATAAACAATGGTTCTGATACCATTGATGGAATAATAAGGTATTCAACAACGAGTTATGTACCCTGTAATTCGCAACGAAAGTCGTTGATCTGCTTCTTTGACAGGATTGCACTCAAGTCCATCTTTGAATCACTGGGAAACAAAGATCTATTCACAAACTAGAAGTCTTCTTCTCTGTGTACTGATTGATTCGTCTCAAAAACTCAACTTTTTATTTCTTGACTGATTTTCAAACGTTTTTTCTCTCTGTATTTTTTACGTTTCCTCTCTCTGTTTTCACGTTTCACATTCCTTAGGAAAACACTCCCACTAGGAGTCTTTTGGATAAGGCATGAAACAGATTGGGTCGGGTCGGGTCGGTTCACATGGGCGATCCACAACCCAAAACTTACAATAAGACTAATAATTTCAAGTTATGACAGTAGAATGATTCTTTCAAGTTGTAACAATAAAAAAATTCAGGTTGTAACAATTTATACAAAAAAAATATTAATTAATTTGAATTTATTTATGATAATTGTTAATGGGCATAAATTTAGGAGATTTAAACAAATTAGAAATATTTATTTTCCTTATTTCACTCAAATCTGTTAACGTTAATTAAAAAAATCAGATTTTATTCATTTTGTTCAAAGTTTCTCTCTTTTCGTTTTTTTCTCCAGAATTTGGCATTACTCACGAGTAGATTCAATTTTTTTGGTTGAAAAATCTTCATTTTGTTGTAATGGACGGCTTCTTATCTATATTAATTAAACATGGTGGTAGATGGATCCTTCTGGTTAGTATTCTTTACGATTTATTGTTTGTATTTGTATATTACTAAAACGTAAAAAAAAGAACAATGAAACCATAAATAACATTTTCTTATTTTGTTTATGTATAGTAGATTTAAGTTGTGATGTTTTTGTATGAACATTATTTGTTCATAATACGTAATCATTTTTGTGAAACGGTAGTTAATGTTGGTACGATTGTGTTTATTATTATTTTTTTTGGTTATTTTGTTTACTGTTTATACCATGGATTTGCGCGATATTGGATTAATATTTGAATGATTTGAGTATAAGTGTATGGAATATTAATAGTATTAGCGTTGTAAAGTTATGAAATTTGTGGGAAAAAGTATGAAATGTGTTGTAACATTGTTATGAAACTGGTATTTTTTTAGTCAATTTGATAATGATAATAATAATAATAATAATAATAATATAATAATAATAATAATAATAATAATAATAATAATTATAATAATAATAATAATAATAATAATAATAATAATAAGATGATGAATTTGATATGCAGTTTAAAATTATAATATGGGATACTATTTAAAAATAAATAAATATATATATATATATATATATAAATAAAATGTATAGGTTGAAATTAATTGGTAGTGTAATTGGAATGATATTGGAATGAATAATTATTCACTATTGTGTAAAATATATGAGTAAGAAGTACGATGATTTGTATTAGGTTTGTATGAAATGTGAATATAAATACAACACATATTTTTTTACTTTTGTTTTATTTAAAACTTACTGTGATTTCGTAATGAAACAGGGAAATATGTTGATTTTCAGATGGAAGAAATTATTATAGTTGGTATGAATAATTGATGAATTTTTACTGATGTGAAATTCAAGAGGTCTAAAGTTACATGCAGTACATGTCATCGAGAGGGCCACAATAGAAAGACATGATCAAATTACTCTTTACCACAAAAATTATAAATTGTTTTGATTCATTTTGTCTTTTAAGCTAATGAATTATAATTCCAGAATATTTATTATGAGTACTGTAAAATCCTATTGATTGTTTTTCAAATATATAGTGAACAATTTATTAAGTAATGCTAGTATGCAATTGTATTCATTTGGTATGCAATTGAAGTCACATAGATACTAGTTATTATAATTTTCAATTGGTATTCTTTTGGTATTCACTTGGTGTTCGACTTGAAAAAAATATAAAATAAGATGTAATTGAGGTTGATACAATATAATATGATCATTGTTTTACATTGTCAGCTTCATTCATCCCAGATTTATACAAGGTGGATACCAACTACATATTTTTTTTTTATTCTCTCTAGAAGTTGAAAGAAGAAGGAAGAAATTGGAGCAATGTCAAGATTAAGTCTCCCAATCTTCAAGCTTTTGAAGGCATTGTGCCTAAGGTATGATGGTTTTTCATCCATGGGATCCTTCCTCCCATGGATTCCCCTAGAATTTCACAATTTGAAGAAGAATTTTCTCAATTCTAGTTAGGGTTTCTTCCAATGTTGCGGGTTATGGTGAATGTTGATCCAATTGAGTGGATTATGATTGTTTGTAATTGAATTGATAGAATTGCATGTATTTAGGATGAAATTACATGTACCCATGCATATCCTATGATTTTAGTGTTGAATTGATATAGTTGGGTTTGATGCCATGAGAGGTAAACTCTCACTACAAGAAAATGTATTTATAGCTACGAAATCTAAGCTATGAATTTGAAAATCGTAGCTATTACTTAGTAATAGCCACAAAAAATTCCTAATTTGTGGCTATCAAAAAATTCATCAAATTTCATAGCCACGACAATTAAATTGACAAAGCTAAATCCTTACATTTGCTATAATTGCTAAAATTTGTGGCAATAATGACTTAAATAGCTATAATTTTACTGTTACAACAAAGTTCTATAGCTAATTATACGTTATTGTCACGCGATAAAAGTCATTGTAGCAATAGTAACTCTTTAGCCACAATAAGTTATTTGACACAAAATACTGTAGCTATATAAATAGTTTTACTTCAAGTTATAAACTATTGTAGCTATAGTTAAATGAAATAGCCATAGAGTTTTCTCTATAATATAATATCGTAGCAATTCAATATTATTTGCCGTAAATTCATAGTAATAATAACTTTTAGCCACAATAAATTATTTGAAGAAACATTTGTAGCTAAATAAATAAGTTTGCTTTAAGTTATAAAAAAATTGTGGCAATAACTATAAGATATAGCCATAAATTTTTTGCCGGAATAAAATTTTATAACACTGTGATTTTTCGCCATAAATATAAATTTTCCATACTAATAATAACTTTTTAGCCACTATAAATTATTGGAAGAAAAATTCGTAGCTAAATAAATATTTTTCAAGTTCAAAAATTTGTGGCATACTAAAAGATAGTCATAAATTATTTACGATGATAAAATTTTATAGTTAATGATTAAGTTTTTTCATGATCGTGTTGAAACTAGTTGGAGCAATAGTAAATTTTACTCATAAAAATAAATTTAAAATAAAAAATTATAACATAATTAACATTTTGTTTCGAGTACCAAAAAATGTGGCAATAATTAACTTAATAGTATAATAATTTGTTATGACAAAATGATATAGGAACGAAGAGTATCCCAACAGAAAAAGGATAGGGAACAATGGATGTCAATAGTTTGAGAAAAAAATTCCCCTTAAAAACTATTAATATTTAGTATATTAATGGCCTAGTGGCCAAAAAGTGTTCTGAAAAATTGATAACAATTTTAGTATATTGATAACAATTTTTTTTCCATGTAACTGAAAACTTCATCAACGTATACCTGTAAATAATAATATTTCAATAATAATACTAATTCACATATAGTTGGAGTAACTTATTAAAATAAAAATCAATTCTCAAAAGTAAATAAAAGTAAATAAGACTTCCAAATATTTACAATAATAAATCTTCATCATCAGGTTCTGATTTTGATTCGTTGTCTTCAGTGATATCATCAGCTACAGTAACATCAGTGCTAATAACATCCAAATCATTTCTTTTCCAATTTATGAAGTCTTCATCATCCTCAAATCTATGCGAGAAATCATTACAAGCATCTTGTTGGAAGGTCTCTTCATCAATAGCACCTCCAGTAAAGTAACTAGAATGACCATTCAAAACAATTGACCAATTGGGATGAAGATTATCCTTAACATAAAAAAATTTGTTCTACTTGAGATGCAAGTACAAATGGTTCATTTGTAGCTAATTTTCTCTTAGTGTTAACACTAACATAATCATGTTTATCTATTTTCACTCCATTTCCACTATTATCAACATCCCACCAATCACACTTAAACAAAACAATGTGCTTACCTCCGAAATATTGAAGTTCTACTATTTCAGTTAGAACGCCATAGTAATTGGTATTTTGACCATTCACCACTCCTTTTACTAAAACACCACTATTTTGCGTCTTCCTCTTTTCCTCGAGTAGTTTAGTATGAAATCTAAAACCATTTATTTCATACCCCTTGAATCTTTGAACTCCATCAAAAGGACCTCTAGCTAAAGAATACAATTCACAGCTTGCAAGTGAATTTTCTTCTTTGCGCATTTGGACAATCTATACAAAAAATCAATTAATCAATGATAATAAATAAGTATTACAAATTTAATATGTTATCAAGTAAAAACTTACTCGATGGAAAAACCAATCATCAAAGTTCATGCTCTTATTGCTCTGCTCATATTCACTGTTATACAAATAAATGTTAATTATATAAAAAGTAAAAATTCCTTTCAATATTTCCTTATACTAGCAGAGGTTATGAAAATGAAAACAGTAGGAGACCATTTGGCTCCATTGTTTTTCATGTCATGAAATTGATGATGTTAGGTAATGAGACTTTACTATCAAAAACTAAAGAATCTGAATTTTTCATGGAAAGAATAGTACATGATTCAGATAAATGAGAAATCTATTTTGGCAAATGAACAACATGCTCACTTAGAACAATGTTAAACAAAAAAATCATTAATGAATTTTTAGTTCAAGGTATCTTCAAAAATAACGGTAAGAGATGAGGGAAAGCTAACAAAACATACCGTAGAAATGGTTGAACTTCTTCACAATTTCTCAAGACATAAAGATGAGCTTGTTTTAGCTCAGATTCTTCAAGATTTCTTGATGTATCTCTTAATAAAGGAGAACCCTTTTGTTCAAATACTGATAATCCATTATATTTCTCTGCATGATCAACTTCATGATTCTTGTCCATTCGATTATGCCATTTTGCACTTCCATGTAAATATCTTGAGCAAAGTATTATACATTCTTCAACAATATACCCTTCTGCTATACACCCTTCCGGATGATTTCTATTACGAACATAACATTTCAATATGCGTAAAAATCTGCATGATATAACATATCACTCAAACTTTTTTTTAACAAGATAAATTAACAAGCAACATAAAATTAAATCAAAATTATAAATTTAAAACATACCGCTCAATAGGATACATCCACCTATTTTGTACAGGTCCACCAAGCTTAGCCTCTCTTGGAAGATGAATGACTAAATGAACCATAACGTCAAAAAATGCTGGTAGAAATATCTTTTCTAATTTTCTCAGTGTTATTGGAATTTGAGCTGCAAGTTGATCCAACACATCAACCCTTAGTGTTTTCGAACACAATTCTTTGAAAAAAATACTTAACTCGGTGATAGCATCATAGACATTGCTTGGCACGACTCCACGAATTGCAAGAGGAAGTAGTTGTTCCAATAAAATATGTGAATCATGACTCTTTAATCCATTAATTTTACGATCCTCTGACTTCACCCACCGTGATATATTGGAAGAATAGCCATTTGGAACCTTAACCACTTTCAAGAACTTGCATACTTTAGACTTCTCATCTCGTGATAATGAATAACATGCTGCTGGGTAATACCATCTTCCATCTCTATAAGTTGGATGTAAATCTCTTCTTATACCCATTTCCTTCAAATCGCGACGAGCATTCAAATTATCTTTTGTTTTTCCTTCAATATCTAGTAATGTCCCAATTATATTATCACACACATTTTTTTCAATATGCATCACATCCAAATTATGGCGTATTAAATTATTTTTCCAATAAGGAAGCCTAAAAAAATGCTTTTTTTTCTCCAGTTATGTATGCCTTTACTTTTTTCGTACTTGCTTTTTTTCTGGGTCTTACCAAATTTCATGTCTCCCAAAGCAAGCAGTTGGCGTACAACATCATCTCCTGATAGAATATTTGGAGCAGGTCTTCTTTCAACTTCTCCATTGAAATCACGTTTATTACTCCGCCACTTATGATTAGATGCTAAAAACCTCCGAGCACCCATGTAAGAAAACTTACGACCATACTTTAATCGAGTAGATGGAGTGTCTTTGTTGCACGAAGGACAAGCCAAAGCTCCCTTTGTGCTTCATCCAGACAAGTTTGCATAAGCTGGAAAATCATTGATAGTCCATAAGAGTGTTGCTCGCATACAAAAGTTCTGTTTTCTTGAAGCATCAAATGTATCGACTCCATAATACCATAATTCTCGCAACTCATCTATCAATAGTTCTAAGTACACATCGATATCATTTCCAGGGGCTTTAGGACCAGGTATCAACAAAGACAAGTAGCAATAGGGTTGCTTCATGCACATCCAAGGGGGTAAGTTATATACAGTAATAATCACTGGCCAAGTGCTATGAGAAACACTTAAGTTACCAAAAGGATTTACCCCGTCAGATGCTAATCCAAGTCTAACATTACGTGGATCTCTAGAAAAACCAGGATTAGTTGTATCAAAATGTTTCCATGCTTCAGAGTCTGCTGGATGTCTTAGAACCCCGTCTTTTAAGCGCTGATCATGATGCCATGTCATGTCTGAAGCAATTTCTGATGACACAAACAACCTCTGCAATCTTGGTTTCAAGGGAAAGTAACGTAACACTTTTCGAGGAACTTTGTTCTCATTCTTTCCTTGAATAGCTCCATCAGTTGTTTGGCCTTCCACTGACTTCCACCTAGACTCCCCACAAACCAAGCAAGATTCAGCTTTTGCATTTTTTTTCCAAAATAACATACAATCATTCTCGCAAGCATGTATCTTTTCATATCGAAGACCTAAATTTTGAATCATTTTTTTTGCTCCATAGAATGACTCTGGTAAAGTTTCACCAGAAGGAAGTGCTCGTTTGATCAATTTCAATATGCTATCGGTTGCTTTATCACTCAAACCATGAAGGCATTTGATTTGGAACAATTCCACAATCAGTGATAACTTAGAGAATGTATCACAACCTGGATAAAGTTGTTGTGAAGCATCTTCCAATAATTTGAAAAATTTGGAAGTAGGTTCTGAAGCATCACCTTGTTGAAGCTTTACTCCACTAGAATCATCCATTATTTCGGGACCAGCAGCATCATAAATCATTTCAAACATATCATCATCTCGCTCTTTTTGTTTCTTTTGAGATGGTTCGCCTTGCGCTTTTCCTTCTGCATCCTGATTAATGATTTTCTTTTTTGGTGCAAATTCTCCATGTTGAAGCCAACGTGTGTATCCTTTGACTATCCCAAAAAGTATTAAATGTTCCTTCACTTCATCTCTAGACCCGTTGGAAACATTATTGCATTTTGTACAAGGACAAGAAATTTCACCTTCTACTTCGGAGTTTTGAAAGGCAAATTGAAGAAAATTATCAACTCCTTTTAAATAAACATCACTCGATGTGTCAGTACAACGCATCCAAGTCTTATCCATCTTCAAATTTCCTACAAAGAAACAAATAGATAAAGATAGTGTTAGCATAAAAATCTCCCGGAACAGAAAAAAACAATAGAATGAAGAGGGGCAGAAGGTGAGAATATATTATGAAGTGTTTGTTGAGTTCATCGTCCATTTTTTAGGAGGTAGAGAGGTTGTTTTCAATAAATCGACTCTCGAAATAACTAAATCACATTCATACTGTTGTCCACTTAATGTCAAAGTTGGTAGGAGAAAGCTTTTGTTGACAAGTTTAAGTGTATGATTGTGACATTAAGTACACTTGGAAATGAGCCTTTTCTTCAAAAATACAATTCTCTTTATTTTAATACATATTCCAATTTCATCTTTTGGTGTTGTGACATATTGCAGTAACGTCTAAACACAAGTACGTTCTTCTTCTTCTATTTTTTTTTTATTTGTATCAATTTTTTAATTTTTTTTTCACTTTTTTAATATTATGTATATAATATTTTAATCAATGAAACGATACATTAGCAATACACTTACTCTTGGTTGATTATATTGTTTATACATGAATTCTTTATTTTATTAAATATGTATCCATGTATTGATTTTGAGTTACATGTTTTTTTGTTTTTATAATTTTTTTCAAATATTTGATTATTAAATATATTTTTATATCTTACAAATACTTGTTTGCAATAAGATATGGGCAGGAAAGGTCTTCGGGAAAAAAATAATTGCTTGATTGATAATGATGATGTGAAACTTGTGGAACTTCGTAAGAGTTCTAAAACGACGTCGATCAAAGAAAATCTCTCCAAACAACATGTTGAGGAACTTGTTTATCAGGGTAATATAAGTTTCTACATATTAAATTTTTATTATTATTTCAATTAGAGAAATTTACAAAATCATATATATAGCTAACTTGTGTTTAATAATTTCGTAGGAAGCATGGACACTCAGGATGAGATAGAAATTAGCTATAATTATGATGGTTATTTTATATTCTCCCCCTCTAGAAAATATGTAAGTGGTCAGTTGATTAAAACAAGTATGGACATTGATTTTGTTAGTTATTTTGACTTGTTGGATGATTTAAAGAAACAATGTAAATTTGATATTTTAGAGGGGGACAAATTTTTTTATTTGAGAGGTGATAGGACTATCAATGATTATGATGGATTAGTAGAATGTCGTGATGATTCAGATGTTAAAGACATGATTGTTAGTTATAAAATGCATAAAGGTAAGTCTTTCGAGATTTACACATTACCAAAGGATTGTGATATTGTTATAAGTACATCTCTTGAAGAAAGTATTCCTAGCAATGATGTGTCCGAAGAGGTTATAGTTATGGAAGAACATCAATCATCAAATGCAACAGGTATACTTTATTGTTATTAATTTATATTTTTATAAATAAAGATATTTTTATTTAATTTTATTTATTTAATCTTCAATTTTAGGTCCCAACGTGGTGAAAAAAAAAACTAGAGGGCCTACACGATGCATAAAAATAATCAACTTATCGGAAGGACAAAAATTATCTGTACAATTTGATGAGGATAATCAAGCTATTGGTGAGAATGCAACTCAATTTATTTGGTTTTTGGGACAAACAGTTAGAAGCCGAAGTTGTCCTTTAAAAGTAAATGATTGGAAAGAAATTGAGGAAAACAAGATTGACCACATGTGGGACATCATATTGGTAAGAATAAACTAATACAGTTTATAATTTTCTTTAAGTTTTTACAATTAAACTATTAGAATATATTATCATAAAATTATATTTAATATATTTTTTGTAGGAAAAATTTAGTTTTGATGTGTTTGAGGATAGAAAATATGCAATCATTGGTCATATGAGTGACCTTTATAGAGACTATAGACACAAAATGAAAAGTAAGTATTTTGATTCAAAAGCATCTTATCAACTTCGCTTGCAGAATAAGCCTAAACGTGTTAGCATCGACGACTGAAAAAATTTGGTTAATCTTTGGAGTGATGCTGATTTTCAGGTATGATGTATTAGATTAAAAAAAATATTTTATTAAAGAAATAGTTTTATTTTATCAATTAAAGAAACTAATGTTTATTTTATTTTTTTAATCTTTATTCAGAAGAGAAGTATGCAAAACAAATCGAATGGATCGAAACGTTCCTTACCTCAATATATTGGAACCAAAAGTTATGCAAGACTTAGACATGAAATGGTACACAAAATAATATTTAGAATAAAGTTAGAAGAATTTATTGCATTTTCTAAATTTAACTAACAATAATGATTGTTATTTTTATAGGCAAAAGACGGAAAAACTCCTTCTCGTGTTGAAGTTTTCATGGAATCTCGCAAGAGGAAAAAAGGAAAACAAGTAGATTCTTTTCAACAAGATGCCATGGTAATTTTAATATGTTAACTTTCCTCTTTATTTGGTTAGTAATTATTTATTTCCATATATAGTGTTAGATTCTTTTGATTGTAGGATCAATTTGACCAATTAAAAAAACAACAACAAAATGGAGAAATTTCTCTAAATGATGATGATATCTTTGAAAAAGTACTTGGGACGGAAAAAAATGGATATCTTCGTGCATATGGCCCCGGAAAAAATATTAGTGAATATTTTGGTGGTAGACCAACAAAGGTACAACTCATAAAGCAATTAGAATCAACCAGAGAAAAATCAAATGAGCGTGTGGAAGAAGTCAAAAGAGAAGCTAAGGAACAAATTGAAGAAATAAAGAAAGAAACAGATAACAAATTAGAAGAGTTGAGTAAAAGGTGGGAAAAGAAATTTCAAATGATGATTGAAGCTCAAGGTCGACAATCAAATAATACTCTAAACGTAAGTAATGTTTCTTTTTTATAGCTTTCATTTATTTTTTTAAAAAAATCATATTAATAATTTAATTAAATATTTTATTGTGTCATTTTCTTATGTAATAGTTAACTGTTTTTGCAGCTTGTGAAGAAGTGATGAGAGCATCAAAATTGACGAGACAAAAATAGCTATTATGTCTTGTAAAAGAATATTTATATGTTTGAATAAAATGATGTTTCACTATTTTGAATGACATTGTTGAATCTTTATAAAGTCTTTCTCCATGTATTGTATTTATTATACAATTCAATATATTTCGCACATTTTTAATATAAATTTCATGTTAAATAGAAACTACATTGTATGAATTTGTACCTAGCTATGATTTTTTTTATTAGGTTGAAAAACATATATAATTACCACAAAAATATCTTGTGAAGAATATATAATTGCCACATATATAATTGCCACAAAAATATCTTGTTAAAAAATTTATAATCTTTAGCTACAATTTATATCTTGTGACAATGAAGTGTGAAATTTTAGTTATGAAATTTTAAATTTGTAGCTATATCTATACTCCTATAATTGCCACGTATAGAGAACATGGCTAAACAAATTACTTTTTATAGCAAATAGTTTTTCTTAAGCTTCAGCGCTGATATTTCATGGCTAGATATATGAATATTTAGTTACAATATAAAAAAATTTGTGGCAAATACATTGAGTTATAGCTATGAATTTTTTTATTCATAACTAAATATAAGTATTATTGCCACGAGATCAGTTATAGAACTAGCTACAAAGTTTAAATATTTGTGGCAAATAAATTGAATCTTTTGCTACAATACAACCTCTTATGGCTACTTTATAAAGATAGATACAAATTTTATTTAACGTGGCACAAGAATAAAATAATTTGCTATAAGTATATTTTTCGTGGCAAAAGTTTGTATCCATTGCAGCTATAAACAATTTTATTTTGTAGTTATAAGTATAAAATCTTAGTTACGGACCATGTAAAGTTTGTAGCTAACTATTAGCCACGCTACATCTTGCTACGCATGCTACGAAACAAAATAATGTAGCTAAAGTGTTTAGCTATGGAAAATTTTATATTTAGCTACAATGTATTTTGTAGCTTAAAGTACATTTTCTTGTAGTGTCTATTGGTTAGATATCTCCTTATAGGATTGATGAATTATGATTAGAATTGCTTGAGATTAAAGCATATATGATGAATATAATGTTAATTGCTTGAGAGTAAAGCATATATAATGATCATGAGATGTAGTGCTTTGAGAGTAAAGCCTAGACTATGAATTGTTGATTGTTGATGTTGTAGTATGGAAGGGATACTTCCTATAGTGAATTGATATGCATGATTGAATGATTATGAAAGATTTACTCACATGAATGATTATAGGTTGAAAGGATTGCTCACCTCAAATCAATCTAGACTAAAATGCTTAATGAATGATGAGGCTAGAGGTGATACCCTTGACCTCCATATGCAAGGATATGAGGTGATTCTCATACTCGTTAGAATTGAACAAGAGGTGAGTCCCCACATTCTTACTATGATGAATGGACATGGAGGCGAGTAACCATGCTCCTTATGAAATGATGTGGAGGCGAGTATCCATGTCATATGATGAGATTGTGGAGGTGAGTACCCAGGCAAGCGGTGAATACCCATTAGCCTTTATAAGCTTGGCATTGAGGCGAATCCCCATATCTTTAAAAGTAGGTATGGATGATGTAATTATGTTATGAAGATGATTTGTTTGGATGTTGCTAGATATGCCTTCCATGATGTAAACTTGACTAAAGGCGAAGGACATATGTCTTGGCTAAGGATAAGTGAGGTTGCTTAAGGAAGTATTCCTCTTTCATTATGATGTTTATTATGACTTGATTATGTTTATGCCTTATGTCTTATTATGACTAATGCTTATGACTATTTTGTTTATACTAGCCATCATATTTAGTACTTGATTGTACTAACGCATACTCTTGCCTACATTCTAATCAAATGTAGGGTCCAGCGATATTGATTCTCACACTCATGGCTATCTTCTCTGTTGATCAAGGAAGTGAAGTTTTGGTGAGTCTTTATTGTGTTCGAGGATGTGTTACCACTTTTCTTTATGTTTTTCTTTTATGTCTTGGACTATTGTATGGGATATGACCCAAGACTTTATT